CTTCAGTTCAGACCAGGACCAAGCAGAACCTCCACAGATTAAAGAGGAAGACGAGGAGAGTCCTATCCAACAGGATGAAGAGCAGGAGACTGAGGACAGAAACTACTGGGACCAGATCCAGTCTCAGCAGTCCTCTGAAGCTGACCAGGAAGGARGCAGAGATGAAGACCTGAAACTAAACAAGGGAAGTCCACAGACCAGGGGTCCCAGAGGTCCCAGTGGTCCCAATGAGCATGTAGACAGTCCAGAACCTGACAGAACTCACCCAGGTCACAATCTGCTCTCTTGTGGGATAGATGCTAATCTGTCTGGTCAAACACACACAGGTGAGGTTTTCACATGTCACACCTGTGGGAAAAGTTTTAGTCATAAATGTTATTTAATCTCACATGTGAGGACTCACAGCGGCGAGAAGCCTTTCTCCTGTCAGAGCTGTRGGAAAAGTTACAACTGTAAAAACAGTTTAAAAAAGCACATGAGAACTCACACAGGTGAGAAACCGTACTCATGTGAAATATGTGGTAAATGTTTCTTATACAGTAATCAGGTCACTGATCACATGAGGACTCACACAGGTGAGAAACCTTTCCCCTGTCAGACCTGTGGAAAAAGTTTTAGTCACAAACATAATTTAATGGCACACATGAGGACTCACACCGGGGAGAAACCTTTCTCCTGTCAGATCTGTGGAAAAAGTTTTAGTAAAAACAGCAATTTAATCACGCATGTAAGAACTCACACAGGTGAGAAGCCCTTCTCCTGTCAGACCTGTGGGAAACGTTTTAATCACAGAGTCAGTTTAAAGTCTCACATGAAATGTCACACAGGTGAGAAGGTCTGATCTTAAGACCCTTATGCTGCATTCACACTGAACACGTTTTCAGCGTTTAAAATTAGGGATGTAAACAATTAATCAACTTACGATTAATTGTCAGATTGGATTATTGGTTTATTGGATTAAAATTCCTTCAATTCGAGCAATTGAAAACATCCGTTTAAGCCTTATTTCAGTGTGGTTTTGACTTCATCCAGTACATGGCGCCRCTGCTCTCAGGTTAGCTAACATTAGCTACTCTTTGTAGAGTTTTAACTCCGTGTGAAAGAACAAAACAAAAAAAGTTAGTCACTACAAATAATTAACGAGGTTAATCTAATCTGTTTGATGTAACTGACCAGTGAACAAATCAAATGAACAGTAACTGACGTCAAATCAGCCCAGATGGAACGTAAACAAACAGTTCCAGTACTCATTTGTACGTTTCTCCCTCTCAGGTCATGTTTAAAGTTTATTTTTGAGTAAATTTTTAGATTAAAATGTTACCCTGTTTAAATGTTAGTTTTACATTTCTCTGTTCAGGGTGGGTTTATTTTTCTTTCCTTTTTTTTTTCAACTAGCAACCTAATAATAGATTCCTGTTTTGTTATATTTTATAAATGTGTCCAAGTTTAATAATGTGTGAGAAATCCATAATTTTCATTTTATTCAGTCAGTGTTTGATACATCTGTCACGATAAATTTTATAAAATATAACAAAACAGGAATCTATTATTAGGTTGC